GTGTCCCACATACAAAAATAGAGGAAGATTGGCACAGATGTTAGCTCAGGGCCAATCTTCCTCACCAAAAAAAAAAAAGTGCTAAAGAGATGTTTATGCCAGAAAGATAAGAATTGAACGATTGATATTGTTTGTCTATAATTAATCTGCAATATCCTTTCAGCTATTTTTTCAAGACATATGACCAATTTCTGATGCTTGGCTTAGTTAAAACTAGGTAATATAATCTGTAATTAAATCTACCTGGGCTCACATACTGGAGCAAAAGGAACAAACAAATCCCATAATCATCAACTCCCATTTTCCCTCAGGAAAGCTACATACCACTTGCCAATGCCCCCTAGTCAAAACCCACCAGGAACTCACTCAGAGTTGCACACATTGGATTTGCTCCTTGAAGCTAGTAAGACCACACTGATTATCATAAGAATAATTCAATAAATATGTATTAAGAATACATAATGTATCTGTAAAAATGCTAAGTGTTAAAAGTTTATGTTAGTCCTTGTCCATATAGGTGAAATGAGATAGTATTTATTAACAGTATTAATTTCATAACAGTAATACCTAACACAATAATATTTACAATGTGCCAAGCACTAAGTGCTCCACATGTAATAATTTATATAATCCTCTCAATAATTCTGTAAGGTAGATGCTATCGATTTTCATTTCTTGAACTACTAGTAGATGTAAACATATTTTCATAAACTGCATTCAGTTTTATAAATTTTTCTTGAGAGTTATTAAAATAGTCCAGGGGAATGCTGTTCTTTGGTGGGAGGATTCCTAGGAGTTACTGCATACATATAACCATACTAAATAAATATTGACCTCAAAAATACAGGAGTGGGGGCCGGCCCCATGGCTTGGTGGTTAAGTGCGCTGGCTCCGCTGATGGTGGCCCGGGTTCGGATCCCGGGCGTGCACCTACGCACCACTTCTCTGGCCATGCTGAGGCTGCGTCCCACATACAGCAGCTACAAGGATGAGCAACTATGACATACAACTATGTACTGGGGCTTTGGGGAGAAAAAGGAGGAGGATTGGCAATAGATGCTAGCTCAGGGCCTGTCTTCCTCAGCAACAAGAGGAGGATTAGCATGGATGTTAGCTCAGGGCTGATCTTCCTCACACACACACAAAAAAATACAGGAGTAATGTAAATTTAGGAGTCAAAATTTCATATAAATATTCCCAGATTTATACTTGATTTTATGGCATTGACTTTTGGATAGAGGCAAACTGTAATTTAGTTCCTGAGACCCAAACTCATCCTGGAATCTGGTTATATACAGTCCGTCTTATCTATACGTGAAAAGAACAGTTGCAGCATGAATATTCCCACTACACTGTTGTTAGCTTTTTTTTTTTGTCAACTCCTTCATTCATCTCCTGTTCCTCTCCTTTATTCATTTTTCTAATGGTGCTGTTCATTTTCTTAGAAATCGTAAATGGTTCTTAAATGTGCCTTAATGGCACATCAGTGATTTTAATCCTTTGACATTTATCTAACATATCTTTCTCAGTTGTCCTCTATTTACATTTTAATGAAGTAAAGTCCATCTTTCCACTTTTTAATGTTGGATTTTATTAGCAGCATCATTTGGCTTTCTCTTGTAACACTTCTTATGCACCATTATTGCAATTTGAATTTTTTAATTATAGAAAAAATCAATCAAGTGAGGACCGATAAAAAAGTAAAAAGAGTAAGAAAGTCAATAAATTAAAAACAACATTATCTCCCCAATAACATCTAAACAGAGAACAAAATAACACCTATCAGTATCTTTAGCCTTATTCTGTGATCATTCTCCTTATGTGTATGTAAAAAATATATTTTTAAACTTGCTGGCTTTTATCAAAATCAGAAAGATCACAGAATTAGGGTATTATTTCCTTAAAATTTCAAGCACAACGTGCAGAAACTGAAAACCTAAGGAAGTCCAAAACCATCTGAGATAAATAAGAGGCTTAAAGCTTATTTCCTAAAATTGCCCTTCTTTTCTAAGTGAAAGCAATGTCTCAGACACAACAACAGAAAAGTAAATGGGTATTCAAAAAGTACATCGCAGCAGAACTTTAGTGAAATATTAGTTTTCACATTGCTTGTAAAGAGATAGATGATTCTGTCAGTTTCCTCTAATAATTCCAATGCCTTCAAGAAACTTAATGTGCTAAATTATTTCATCACTTTCAAAATTAAGAAAGTTAAAACTTCTTCGAGGGCTTAGCTGAATAGCCCAAAATTTCAAACTCGAAAAGTCACATGCTATAAAAACTTTTGAGAAAAATATTTATCTTTTGGTATTGATGTACAACCTGTGATTTAATACATCATATGTTAAACAATGATTAAATAATCCTCAAGTTTTACACACCTCTAAAATTTTTGAAAAAATATATTTTAGAAATGTAATGCATTTAAAATATTTCTTGTATGAAGAACATGATGTGGGCCAATTCATTGACATATCTGAAAGGTTGAATATTTGCAGAACTCCCTCAGCAAAGCCAACCTCTTTCTACACAAACCAAACTAGACGTTTTCGTGTGCCCTTCCTCTGAACTCCCATGTTAGTTACCTGGGTTTGAAAACGAGCTCTACCATTTACTGGATGGGTGACTTTAGACAAATTACTTGACTTCTTCTCAGTTTTTCCATCTGTGAAATGGAGATAATAATAATATCTGTTTCTTAATGTTTTTATGATTTAAATGAGTTGATATTTTCCAAGCATTTAAAATAGTGTCAGATAGTTCTAGAAACAGTGGTGATGATTATACAACACTGTGAATGTTAACTGCCACTGGATTTTACACTAAAAATGGTTACAATGGTAAATTTCGCATTCTGTATATTTTACCACAATAAAAAAATCAAAAAATCAAAATAAAATAGCTCCTGACACACAGTAAGGATTTTTGAAATAAACTAAAAATAGCATTCACTACTCTGTATTGTAATTGTTTGATGATCTGTCTGTATCCTTTTAACTAAAAGCTGCGTGTGGGTGGACTGCACTCCGAGCCTGCTCTACCACCCAGCATGGGCTCTGGCACACAGGAGGTCCTAAAGACATACTTACTAGATTGATGAGTGAGGGTCTCACAATGGAATGGGCTGCCCAGGAGATGATGACTTCCCTGTCAGTGTAATTATTTAAGCAGAGGGTATGATGATCACCTATTGATGATGTGTCAGAGAAAAAGTCGAACACACGGATGGGACTAGTAAAAGTGCCTAAAATTTCTTCTTAATCTAAGAGTTCATTATTCTATTTATCTTGTGCTTTAATATAGCAATTTTTATAGTCTTAACAACAGTACCAATATCATAAAGGAATTCCATCTTTCAGTACTTGCCATCTTCACCCCTACAACAGGCTCCTATTCCTATTAAAACACTTGCAGCTCTTTTGGATCTCCTGGCACATGACACGCTTTTTCCTTTTTTGAATGGGCTCTTCACCTGTGTGCTTCACCTTCTTGATGTCTCATTCTCCAGAAAGGCTTCCCTGATTCTCTGAAAGGGTGTTAGTTGTCCCATACATGCCACAATAGTATTTTGGCTTTGTATTATCACATGGTATAGAAATTTGCTAGTTCTCTAAACTGTAAGCTACTTGGAAGCAGGGTCTGTGTCTGGCCACTAGTCTTTCTCAACCACCTAACACATTACCTGGTAATAAATATTTATTAAAAGAATAAAGGCATTAATGAAACCATCTTGTGAGGTCTACTGCTTTCAGTTGTGTACAACATAGATAATTTTTTTTTTGGTGGCGAAGACTAGCCCTGTGCTAACATCTGTTGCCAATCTTCTTTTTGCCAAGGAAGATTGGCCCTGGACTAACATCCGTGCCCACGTTCCTCTACTTTATACGTGGGACACCTACCACGTCATGACAAGCGGTGCGTAGGTCCCCGCCTGGGATCTGAACCTTTGAACCCCCAGCCGCCTAAGCAGAGCACATGAACTTAACTGCTATGCCACCCTGCTGGCCCCCAACATAGATAATTTTTAAAAGCACATTTCTTTTTAGGTATTTTTGGCCAACCAGTTGCAATGCTTTCTTTGTGGCAAAATTCTGTCCCAGTGTCAGTGATTTTGAATATCTCCTTAATGCTATGTAGCACAGTATGTTATATGCAAATATGTACCCCAAAACATATATGTGCTTTTATTTTGTGCCTAGAACTTACACTCTTCAAAACAAGTTCTCTTGAGAGTAAAATGTGTGGCGATAAAGAGACCAGGCCAGAATCTGCTAAGACACCAGCCATTTTTGTCTGAAAAAAAAGAAATGAAAACAAAAAATGAATTCTTACCTACTGTGAAAACAAGTATTTGTCAGAGAAGATGAATATCGTTATTCCAGGCTGTCTACACAGTGCCGGTGACAGAAGTGGCAATACTTTAATCAGATAGAATTCTCCCAGAATTTGATGATCCCCAGTCTTCTCCCTAACTGCTGAGCTCTCCACTCTTCCATTTATTTTGTGGTTTCCCACAAAAGATCTTTAAAACACAGAGAAAATCTCAATGAGGAATTCCACCTAAAAGATGATATTCTTGTATCCATCAGGAAAATAAAGGGCGCGTCCTCCATTAACTTCCCAACTCAACAGGTCAGGAGGAAAAAAAAATTAATTGAATTTTCATCAGTATTACAGAAGAATGATCATCTCCCCTTGCACAATCAGAAGGTTCCTCCGACATGTTAATTATTCAGCAATTGGCATTTACCGTACAGATGGCTTATTAATAAACGATGACATATGTGGTGTCAGAAATCAACTCTGGATAATATCTGCCTACATTGGTTTAGCGAAGAGCCTGCGCTCCTCTAACTCGAGCTTCTCCTGGTTAGCTCTGCAGGCAGCGGGGGCGAGAGCCCTCTGCACCTGCAGCCCTGGCCCCCCCCCAAACTCGCCCGACTCCCGGTGGGCGGGGCCGGCTCCCGCGCCGCCCGCGGATTGGCAGGTCACCGGGGCGGGCCGGCGCGTGCGCACTGGTCTCTCCGCAGCCGGTGGACCATGGAGGCTCCGAGGCCCTTGAACCCCGAGGGGTTCGCCCAATCGCTCCCCGGGACGCGAGGGGGCGTTTTGAAGCTGTGGCTCTGTGAGCTCTGGCTACTACTGCTGGGTTCCGGCTTGAACGCGGATTTTCTGCCCGACGAAGAGGACGTAAGCTTTATCAATGAGTACGTGAACCTCCACAACGAGCTCCGCGGCAACGTCATCCCCCGGGGGGCTAACTTGCGCTTCATGGTGAGGCCCTAGGCGGTTGCCCGACCTCCCACCCTCGTCACCACCTCCCCGGCCTCCGAGAGGCTGGGCCGCTGCGCTGGGGCTCTAGGAGCGCGGGGTGTCATGTGGGTTAAAGATACACCTGCAGTTTATCCACTGAAGAGATAAAACCACTGACACTGTAGTAATACACGGTGATGACCAGCGTTCTGCACGGGGCTGGGACCAGGGTGAGTGGGGCATTCACCTGAGGTGCAAACTTGAAGGGGGCTTCCATTCGAGAAAATGATAGTCTAATGCAATATATTTTTTAAAGACTTTAAAATCAGTGCAAAAATCTCATTGATGAAGACAATATCAATTTAAACAAAAACAGGATCCCTGGGCTTGAATTAGGGAAAGGCAAGTGAGCGCTCTCAGATGGTGCAAGTGAAAGGTCAGATCCTGGTTTTATTTAAAATTTTGAATTTTTTTTCGTCATAGGTGTTTTCACATTAGTTTTGCCTTGTTTAAAGTATTATTTACCTTGATTACTGAGTTTTTCATATCCACACTCAGTTTTGCACCGAGGGAGTGTCTCAGTCACCTGACCCTGGTCCTGGCCCTGATTTTGCATTTCCCTACGCTGTCGTCCTGCTTCTTTCCCATTTCCCCCCTATTTCTATTTAACATCTCGTCAGCTGTCCTCTTGTTGCTGTGGAGTCTTCGTGGTTGTCCTTAAAAATGATGGCAAAATTTATTGAGTAATAACTCTCCTCTTATCAGGCAGTGAGGAGCTTCCAGTTGCCATTATAAATGATATTGTGAGGACTGTCTCCCTAGACATAAGTCTTTTCTTCCTCTGGATTAGTTCCTTAGGACAAATTCCAGAAATGGGATGAATAAAAGATATAATATTTTTGGTATATTTGATACATAGCAATTCTTATTCTAAAGGGCTGTGCCAAAGTAAGCAACTACTAGCAGTGTGTAAGTGTTCAGTTTTCACCACATCCACACTGGCTTGGGCATTTTCAGTCCCTTGCTAAACTAATAAATTATAAAATGGTACTTCATTTTATTGTTAATTTTAAAATGCTATGTTGATTGGGACATATTTTAGTTCTTTCTTGTTCTTTTCTTTTTTTTTTTACCTTTTGTATTGTCAGCATTTCCTCTTCTGTTTATATATTTTCTTATAGAAATATACTAGCATTTAGTACTATTTGCTGAAGATAGTTTTTTTCCAAGCCAGTTTTTATCTTTTGAACTTAATCATAGAATTTGAGGATAGATTTGAGAATTTTAGCTATATATTTCCCACCCTTTGTGATTAATTCTATTTCTTGCAAGTTTGAAGATTAGCCTTCCTCCTGATAATTAATAAACACATAATACTTTTTAATACAGCTTTTTATAGGTTTTGTATTTCTAATCTCTAAAAACTATATTTCAAACATAAAGTATAGAGAATAATATAGTAGACACCTGTTTACCCACAATATATATCTTAATATATGAACATTTTTAAAGGAATAGTGTTTTGGGTACAAGTTTAAAGCCCCACCCTAAACTTTTATCCTTCTCTTATTTCTAAAAGTTAGGATGTCTTTTTCCCATGGATTTTACTAGGACATAAATAGTAACTAAATAGTATAGTCTATGTAATAGTATGATCTACTTAGAATTTTTCCTTGACAGGTTTGGAAATCATACATTTTATTTTTATTCTTAACATTTTAATATATATACAAAGTCAAAAGTTAATCAACATCTATAATCTCCTTCCAAATATTAAAAAGGTCTTACAACACAAATTCTGAATGGTCTCCTGCCCATGTCCATGCTGTTGTTGTCATCTAGTATTTTTGTTCTACTTTGTTTTTAAACTCAAAAAAATTTATTTATTTTTATTGTTGTAAAATATGCATAACATAATATTTACCATTTTAACCATCTTCAAATATATAGTTCAATGGCATTAAGTACATTCAGATCGTTGTGCAAATCATCACTGCCATCCATCTCCAGAATATTTTCATCTTCCCCCACTGAAACTCTGTACCGATTAAACATTAAGTCCCCATTCCCTTCTCCCCCCAGTCCTTGGCAAACACCATTCTACTTTCTGTCTTTCTGAGTTTGACTTCTCAAAGTTACTTCATATAGGAATCATACAGTATTTCTCTTTGTGACTGGCTTATTTCACTTAGCGTAATGTCTTCAAAGTTCATCCATGTAGTAGCATGTGTCAGAATTTCCATCCTGTTGAAGGCTTTATTTAAGGATTAAGTCTTTGTTTAAGGATGGTTAGTCACATTGAGCACCTTTTCGTGTACTTGTTGGTTAAAACTATAGAATTCTTAGAAGAACACAAAGGGGAAAAGCTTCATGACATTGAATTTGGCAATGATTTCTTTCATATGTTACCAAAAGCACAAGCAACAAGATAAAACATAGACAAATTAGACTTCGTCAAAATTAAAAACTTGTGCATCAAAGGACATTTTCAACAGAATGTAAAGGGAACCTATGGAATGGGAGAAAACATTTGCAAATCATATATCTGATAAGGGATTAATAAAGAGTTGATTAATAAATAATAGAATAATAAATATAGAATAATAAAGATTTCCTTCAACTTAAGTAACAAGAAAAACTAACAACCTGATCAAAAAATGAGCAAAGGACTTGAATAGACATTTCTCCAAAGAAGATATATAATGGCCAGTGAGCACCTGAAAAGGTACTCAACATAACTAATCATTAGGAAAATGCAGATCAAGACCATAATGACATACCACTTCACACCCATTAAGATGGCTGTATCAAAAAGCAGAAAGGCCAGAAAGACAGAACCGCACACACTTAACCTGGTGGCATAGCGGTTAAGTGCGTGCGGCCATGCTGTGGCGGCATCCCATATAAAGTAGAGGAAGACGAAGACGGGCACAGATGTTAGTTAGCCCAGGGCCAGTCTTCCTCAGCAAAAAGAGGAGGATTGGCAAGAGATGTTAGCGCAAGGGTGATCTTCCTCACCAAAAAAAAAACCAAAAAACAAAAAGCAGAAGATAATAAGTGTTGACAAGGGTGTGGAGAAACTGAAACCCTTGTGCATTGCTGGTGGGAATGTAAAATGGTGCAGCCACTACAGAAAACAGAATGGCAGTTCTTCAAAAACTTAAACATAGAATTTCCATATGTTCCACCAATTCCAGTTCTGGGTATATACCCAATAGAAGTGAGAATAGGGAATTAAACAGATATTTGTACATACACCCATGTTCACTGCAGCATTATTCACGATAACCAAGACATGGAAACAACCTAAGTGCCCATCAACAGGTGAATGGATAAAGAAGATGTAGTATATATATATATACACAGTAGGATAGTATTCAGCCATGAGAAAGAAGGAAATCCTGCCATTTGTGACAACTTGGATCGGCCTTGAGAACATTATGCTAAGTGAAATAAGCCAGACAGAAAAAGACAAATACTACATAATATAACTTTTTTTTTTTTTGTGAGGAAGATCAGCCCTGAGCTAACATCCATGCTAATCCTCCTCTTTTTGCTGAGGAAGACCGGCTCTGAGCTAACATCCATTGCCAATCTTCCTCCTTTTTTTCCCCTAACGCCCCAGTAGATAGCTGTATGTCATAGTTCCACATCCTTCTAGTTGCTGCATGTGGGACGCGGCCTCAGCATGGCCGGACAAGTGGTGCGTCGGTGCGCGCCTGGGATCCGAACCTGGGCCACCAGCAGCTGAGTGCACACACTTAACCGCTAAGCCACGGGCTGGCCCTACATAATATAACTCATATGTGGAATCTGGAAAAAAAAAAAAAGTCAAACTCATAGAAACAGAGAATAGAAAAGTGGTTGCCAGGGGCTGGGGGTCGGGGATATAGAAAGAGGTTGGTAAAAGGGTACAACTTTCAGCTATAAGATGAATAAGGTCTGAGGAGCTAATGTAAAACTTGGTGACTATAGTTGATAACACTGTATTATATAATTGAAAAAAAAAAAAGAAACTTTAGCCTCTGTTTTCAACTGTAATTTTATTCAAGGTTGAGCAAAGGAATTTGTAACTATCATAATTTATTTGCACACCGTCGTGGGAAGCAATGAAATAAAATGCTTACAAACTTGGAGTTGAGAGTTAGGTTTCCTGGGTTTAAATCCAGGCTCCGCAATTTACTGGCTATACGTAAACTACATAACTTCTTTGTGTTTTAGTTACTTTGTGAAACAGAAATAGTAGTAATAATGCATCCCTTATAGGGTTATTGGAAACATTAAGTGAAATAATGCACTAAAAACACTTAGAATAGTGACTGGTACATAGTAAGCATGTGGTGTGTAAACAATATGCAAAACAAGGCAGTAGAAGAATGGTTCATGGAGCATTGTTTGCAAGTGGGAAACAATCTAAAAGGCCATTAATAGTGGAATGGTAACATTTATTATGTGCTATCCATGCTCCAGAATACTATGTAGAGTTTGTAAAAATTGGGTAGATCTAGTTGTGCTAATATGGAGCAATCTCTCTAAGTGAAAACTGCAAGTTGTAGGCCAGTAATATTATGTGTGGTGTAATTACAGTAGTGCAAGGAAAAATATCACAAAATACTCATCTAAAACATCCAAACTTCTATTTGAAGTATGTATTTCTATGTATATAGAGAAATGTATATGTAAACAATTTTTTTAGCAATGATTATCTTTGGGGTAGGGGAGAGAAATATGTGTGTGGGGGATATTCTAAAGCCCTGATTTATTCTCTATAATGTATTTTGTATATTGTATTTATGTATAATCAATGAAATTAACTAGGAAAACTCTAAATAAGTCTTAGTATTGGTTTTCAGAAGTGTTTACTTTCAGATAGCCTATAACATACACACTTGGCATTTTTATTTTACAGCTGTTTTGTTGCTTTTTCTGTGTGTGTTGTTTTTGCTCTTGGCCTTAACCAGGGAGCAGCATCTTGTGATATTTTCTCACATTTCTGGGAATATCGCTAAAACTTTATATGTGCCTCTTTTATAACATTTACCAACTACCACTATGTGTTAAAATTTTATATATATATAATATCCCAGGTTGTTCTCTTAACAGTAAGCAACTAGAGGACAAAATTTATGCCTGGCTTCGTATTTTATTCCTCGCAATACAGTAGTTTGCGTATAGTCAGTGCTCAATAAATAGTTTTTAGATGAATATTTTAAATTATTATGTTACTATGTATAAAAAGCCTGAGATTAAAAATACATATTCTGAACAGACTACATGTAAGAGTATTATAATCATTTGCATAATCTAACAATCTGACTTTGTAATTACAAATATGTGCATAGTCCTTGTCTCAGGAAATAGTCATTTCATTTATGATTATCTCAGAAAACTTTTCCCCCATAGAAATTCCACAATCAAGACCTATAAGCACAATGTTAGAATTGTTTTCCTTTAATCTAACTATGAGAACTCAAGGAAAATAATGTAGAGCACAAGATATCCTAATTATTGTTGTTTTGTTTGCTTTGCTTTTTGCATTTTTTTTTCAGACTTGGGATGTAGCTTTGTCACGGACTGCTAGAGCATGGGGGAAAAAATGTGTGTATGAGCATAATACTCATTTAGAAGAACTAAAAATGGCCCATCCTAAATTTAATGGTATTGGTGAAAATATGTGGGTCGGCCCTGAAAATGAATTTACTGCAAGTATTGCTATCAGAAGTTGGTATGCAGAGAGGAAAAAGTACCATTTTGAAAATGACAGTTGCTCTGATGACTGTTCTCATTATATACAGGTATCTAACTTTTATATTATTAATTCAATAGAATCCTCAGTTGCTTTACTGCTAAGTTTTTATTGATTGTTTCAGTTTTATAGATAAACTCAAATGATAAAATTATTACTCCTAATAGAATCAAAATTCTAGTCCTGTATCTTCAATGTATCTATAATTCTATCTATTATGTGAACCATACAATAAAACACTCCTTTAAATATATAAATGTAATCTCCATACCCAAAGATGAAAGGTCCTTTTCTAAAAATAATGGATACTGGAAAAGGAAGTAAACCAGCAAATAAAAATTATTTTGAAATTATTGACTATAAACATAAGTAAAAGATTTGATAATTTTTGCACAGATCAGTACATATACTACTATATAACTGATTGATTAAAACATTTTAAATGCAAATTAATAGTTTTATTTCCCTGCCTCATGTCTAACAATCTACTCCTAGACTTTATACTCCAAGAATACTGAACCACTTGTTTCCTGTACATACATTTATTATTTCACGTATCACATGGTTTTATAATCGTCTGTTTATACGTGATACCACACTAAGGGCAGAGACTTTGTATTCTCACCCATGTATTCTCAACACAACAACATGACATCATTTAGGTCTTCAATAAATATTTGTATCAGGAATCAAGAAATTATTGAATGAACTTCCAAGCTTGTTTAAAAAATCATTATTCTTTCAATCAATAGACTCTGATGTCATGTTTTATGTAGAACTTAAAATCTTGGAATTTTTTGATGTTGAACTCGTGTTTTTCTGTTCCATCAAATGAACCATTTTTCAGGAAATTTTTGATCAGCTCTTTTTTCTTCTAGAAATTTATAGGTTCTGCATTGTGTTACTCATTACAAATAAAAAAAATTATTAAATAAATTATTTATATAAAATTAAAAAAATTATTAAATAAAATTTACTTATTATTTCTATTTTATTTTATAGTGGAATTTCCTCAACAAAAGAAAAGAGAAATGCTCAAGGCATTCAGTTACTCTCTGCTCTTTTATCACTTTTCCTTCCTTTCCATGATCTTAGTGTCCCTCTTTTTCTCCCTTCACAACTTCCGTTCTTCCAAAACTTTTTCTCCTCTCTTTTCCCGCTTCCTCTCTGCCAAGGGCCTCGAACTCTCAAATTCAACACGAGATTGAAAATTGTTTCAGCAAGTGTGCCTTTGTTTGGCTCTAAAATTTTATTCTGGATCAGTGTTTCTCAAACTCTTTATCCTAAGAGTACAGTATTGGTAGAACCTATTAAAGTATTTCTCTAAATAGAGTTTGGAAGTGCTTCCTTAAGTCCATGATAATTCTCTACCTGCATTCAAATGAAGAATAGTTCATATTCCTTGAATTACTTGGTTAAAGGTTTAATGTGAATTGAATATATTATTGATTATAACATGGCAGAGTAAATGTTTAGTATTAATTTTTATGTTTTTTTGGAAAATTTTATTTTAGCTTGTTTGGGACAAATCTTACAAAGTTGGTTGTGCTGTTACTCCATGTTCAAGAATTGGACGTATTAAACATGCAGCAATTTTCATATGCAACTATGCACCAGGGTAAGTTACTTTAAATTTTAAAAAGAATGTAAAAATAAATTGGGAATTTTTCAAGGTTAAGTTTTCCTAACTATCAATATATTCTTTTAAATGTCTTTGTGAATTCTTTCCACTGACTTACCATCTAATTATTTACCTTATACCTGAATACCTTCCTGTGATGGGAAATAACTACCTTCTGAAGTAGTTTCCATCTCTGGAGAGCTCCGTCGGAAAGTCTCCAGTATTCTTTTAGGTCAATATGATACTAGAAGTAATATTATTAAAATGTCCAACTAAGGGAGGAAATATCCTAATCAACATGTCAAGTAAACAGTAAAAATTGACTACATGCTAGGATTGAGAGGAATTTCTGCCAAATAAAATGCTTCTGGGACTAATCCAAAAAGAAAATGAAAAAAAATACCATTGATTACTAATTACTGATCGTATTCCCTTTGATAGGGAAAACGAAAGAATTGTGATGTAAGTCAAATTAGAGTCAGAAAGCCCTTTCCTGTTGGGAAGCTTTGCTGCCTTAGAACATAGGCTTACAAAACAAGTTTGGGATGTAGAGTCATTGCAAAACCTTTTAGGCGTCCTTTCATTCGTACGGACTGGAAGCATTGGGATGATATCTGTTACGTGGAGAAACTTTTGAAAGTTATCTACTGATTGGTATTGAAAATTCAGAGAACTGGACACTGGCGTGGGGGAGGGAGGAGGTTCATCTGCCGCACTAGTCTTAATTTATGCACTTAACAAATATGTACAAGGCCCCAGTCTATCTACTAACAAGACCAAAAAAGATTGACCATATTTGGTTTATAGTCTTGGAAGGAAGACAAACAAATAAGTGACCACATAAATAAATAATATTTAATTAGATAATAAAATGTGCTGTAAAATGAAGATAAGCAAATAGGGAATAACTAGTATGGAATATAGATAAGGTATTTGCAAAAGGAGGTGGCATTTGAGCTGAAAGCCAAACAAGAAGAAGATGGCTAAAGGGTATTGCAGGTAGAAGTAAGAGCAAGTATAAAATCTCTGAGCTTGGAATGAGTTTAGCATGTTTGAGAAATGAATAATGTGGTCAGAGGTAGGAGTTGAGGTAGAGAGTTAGGAGACAGCTACACCAAGTAGAATACCATAGACCATGTTAAGGATTTTGGAATTTATTTTAAGTAATGGCAAAGCCATTGGAAAGTCTTAAGCAAGTGAATGACATGATCTCATCTATGTTTTGAAAAGAACACTTAAAAAAAAAAGATTACTCTTGCTTGTTAAGAATGGACATGAGTTTGGTTGTGTTTTTTTAGATTTCACGTATAAATGAGATCATACAATATTTATTTTTTTCTGTCTGACTTATTTCACTGAGCGTAATGCCTTCACGGTCCATCTGTGTTGTTACAAATGATAGGATTTCCTCATTTCTTATGGCTGAATAATATTCCATCGTATATATACCACAACTTCTTTATCCATTCATCCGTTGATGAACACTTAGGTTGTTTCCATGTCTTGGCTATTGTAAATAATGCTGCTGTGAACATGGGGGTACAGATATCTTTTCGAGTTAGTGTTTTCATTTCCTTTGTATATATTCCCAGAAGTGGAATTGCTAGATCATATGGTAGCTCTGTTTTAATTTTTTGAGGATCCTCAGGAGATGTGTTTTGTGTTTGGACACTAGGTAGAAATATAAATGTGGGGAATGTAGTTGAATCATGAGGAGGAACTAGCTATACATGGAGATCTGGGATAGGTTTCTAAGTAGAGGGAACTGCTGGGCCCTGAGGTAGAATGAGTCACAGTCCTGAATGAGATCACCTTATGAGAGAGTGAGTATGGAGACGTAATTTAAGGACTAAGTCCTAGAGCATTATAATATTTGAACTTCAGGCAAAGGAGCTAGCAAAGGAGAATGAAGAGAGGCTAACAAGAAAAGAGGGAAACCAAAGCAATGTTGGTAAGAAAGTGAAGCCAAGTGAAGAACATGAGTCAAGACACCCAGTGTGGTTTGACTGTATGAGATGCTTCTGTAAGAAGGAAAAAAATGAGGAAGTAGAGATGGCAGTTCCATTGATAAGATGAAGGTATTTGGTGACCTGAGTAACAATAGTGAATGTAAGGGTATCCTGTGACTATAGTGATAAGATGAAGCTACCAGTTGTTAGGATTACTATTCTTTCCATCCACCTGTCCCATAGGCTTCTTTGTCTTGAAATTTCTATCAACTGTTTTTCCTTTGATACAAATGTTGGCAAGTCTACTTGTGAAGGATCTAGGTTGGAACATATTAGTCCAGTCAGTCCAAGTCTTGTTTGATATATGTTCAAAATAGGCAGTCATAGCTATCTTTCTTAAGAAAAGTTGGTAGAGAAATCAATCCATCAGAGTATTATGAAATACTGAGTAAAAATGAAAATAAGAGAGCCAAATTGAAAATTGGAATGCGTAGTAGGCTGAATGGTGGCCCCCTAAAAGATATATTCAGGTCCTAATTCACAAAACCTGTGAATATTAACTTACATGATAAGAGTGAGTATAGTCTTATAGGGCAAAAGACATGATTAAGATAAGGGTCTTGAGAGGAGAAGTGTATCCTCCACATGTATCCTCATAAGAGAGAGGGAGAGGAAGATTCAGCACTAGACACACAGAAGAGGAGGAGGCAGTGTGACCATGGAGGAAGACGTCGAAGTGATAGATCCACAAGCCAAGGAACTTCTGGAGCCACCAGAAGCTGGAAGAGTCAAGGAATTCTCCCCCTGAGCACTTGGACGGAGCACAGTCCTGCCGACATCTTGATTTTGGACGTCAGGCCTCCAGACTGAGAGAATAAATTTTTGTTGTTTTAAACCACCCAGTTTGTGGTAATTTGTTAAAGTAGCCACAGGAAACTAATACAGAATGGAAGAATAAAAACAGATTTGGCCATAGAGAAAACATGAGTTAAGGAGAACCTTAAAAAATTCTCACAGGCATTTTGGTGAGAATTGGCTCGACAATTCTCTGACATGCTCCGCTTTGGCAGCCTGAGTTCGGTTCCCAGGCGCAGACCTACACCACTCATCTCTCAGTGGCCATGCTGTGGTGGCGGCTCACATACAAAAAGAGGAAGATTGGCAGTGGATGTTAGCTCAGGTGAATCTTCCTCAGCAGAAAAAAAAAAAATTCTCACAGAACACAAGGAAGAATAATAGAAATCAAAATATACATGAACAAAAAAAGGAACTATATAGGGCAGATAAATCTACAAATTGGTAGTCCTAAAGAACAGAGAAGAATAAATGGAACAAATAATAATCAAAGAAAACAAAATGTTCTTAATCTATAAAGATACCCATGTAAAGATTAAGATAGCTTATAATGTATCATAAAAAGTGAACTGAAACAATGTTTACAGATATTTTCTAGTGATTATTTTTCAATCTCAAAGGTAAAGACTCATACATTTCTAAGCAAAGTAAAACAAAATAATATTATTATTTTTACTAGTATTATTACTACTATAAAACAGTAGTATTATTAGATCATCCTTGAACTTAGTTATTGGAGAAAGTACAATCAAAGATGATCATGAGAATTTAAGCTTAAGTGATAGCTAATTTTATTAACTGAGCTGGGAAAAGATGTAGGGTGGAGGAAAAGGTGTAGGGTGGAGGAAAAAGGATTTGTTTATGTTTACACATGTTACATCTGCAAGTGACTGCAGGACCTTTTATTTTGTTAAATATAAGTTTGTAATAGGTACACCAAACACTGACTAGGCAATGGAAGTCCACGTTTTTTACATGGTGTCTATCCTGAAAACACTTGTAGTCTGTTGGGTAAGAAATATGTTAAAAAAAAAAAAAGAGCAACATTAACCAAATATACACACATATCTATATTTTAAGGAGAAAGGAGCTGTTGTAAAAGCAGGTATGAAATCATAGAAGCTATAAGCCTGGATACAGATTCAGAAGCAGTCAGCTTTAATGCATAGAAGATGTGTATTAGAGGAAAAAATAGGGCAATAGAGGAGGTAAGAGATCTGGGATTGAGGAAAATGATTTGAATCGGAGGCTGGACCCTTAAAAGAAGTAAATTATAGTGTCCAAAAGTATTTAGTAAAGAAATTTTTCTTTATTTAATAGTTAAGGAAGTATAGTCTGGCAAGTGGTACCATTTTCTTTACTTCTTGAGCAGACAGCCGCCCTAGAAGTTTGGTAGGGCCATGTGACTGAGTTTGGCTAATGGAATACAGGCCACATCCAGGTCTGGCCTTTAAAAATTTCCTTCATGATCCATCACACTTTTGGTCTTTCTTCATCTGCTGGCTGGATACAGAGGATCTGGTGAAAAATTCAGATGTCCTAGAGGGTGGCAGAGCCACAAGATGAAATGAGCCAATGCCCCAGAATGACTGCTGGAAGAAAGCTTCCTCTAGCACTGCCAACACCCATACTGTCCCACAACATGAATTCTGCCTACCATAGCACGGAAATGGCAAGGAGAGCTCAGACTGAGGATATAGGTTGAAGGTGGAGCTAAAAATGCCTGCTGATAGATTTAACTTGAGTAGTGAATGCAATAGAATAATCAAGGTTGATACCTATGTCTCTAGTCTGAGCAACTGGATGAATGATGATGCCATTAAATCAGATAGGGACAACTTGCAGAGGAGCAGAGCTTGAGGAAAGATCGAGTTTTCTGTTTCAGATACATTGAATCATGAGAAGGAGCTAGTCAGAATGAAGGTCTAGGATAGGTTTCTAAGTAGTGAGAGCTGCAGGTATAAAGGCCCTAAGGCAGAAGAGTCACAGTCCTGAATGAGATTACCTTGTGAGAAAGTAAGTACATCTGCAAAATGGCAGAGGAGACTTAAGGACTAAGCCCTACATCACTACAGTATGCGAACTTCAGGCAAAGGAGCTAGCAAAGGGGTATAAAGAGAGGCTAGCCAGGTAAGAAGGAAACTAGAACTGTGGTGGCAGATTTTTAAAATAACATTTAGACTTATTTTCTCA